ATGTAAGGGATATCAGTTAATTTGTGAACACATGTTCTACCTGCAACATATGAGAAAATGTAAGGAATATCAGTTCATTTACAAGCTAAATCAACTTATTTTACCTGCAATGTGTGAGAGCATTTAAGGGATATCAGTTCATTTATTGTGAACACAAAACATTCTACCTGCAATGTATGGGAGCATTTAAGGGATATTGGGTCATTTATGCAGGTGAACACATTGAGAACCCAAAAGGAGCCGGGCTTGACTCGCTGTTGGCTCTTCCCGGCTCACCCTTCAACTTTGGCCTTCCTGTTTATATTCATGTGGTTTTCCAACTGGTTCTTAGGTGCCCATTTCCATGGAGGTAACATCCCTTCTCCTGGAGCACACAGTGGTTTAATTAGGATTCTTCCCTCTATTTGTAGGCATCTCTGAGATGCCTGAACCTACCACGAGGCTAAAGAGAAGGGTAAAAAGTTTCTTAAATTTTGAATTTTGAAAGACAAACACATTAAGCTGATCAGGCCACAAAACAATCCCTGGTTTTCTCTCTTCCAGAAAGGCAGTGTGAAATTTTTATTATAACACAGGTGGAAACACAACTTTCTCCTTGCTTATACCGTGTTGCCTCCCACCCCCTTCTCGAGAACCTTCACCAAGAGTTCGGCTCCTTCAGTGAATGTGCCACAATAATTTCAATATGGAATGTTCCAGCTCCTGTGGTCCTGCTGAAATTATCCAGTGCCATGTCCTAAGATGGGGACAGGAGGGGCCTGGCTCATGTTTGTAAAAAAAAAAAAAAAAAAAATCAAACACAACCAACCACGGTAAAAGTTGCTATTGGTTGGGTTGGTTTTCTTTTTTTTAAATACTAAGCTAAACCAGGTTATGGATTTAAAACTTCCAGAAACACAATAAAGTTTTATAAACTATTTAAAAAAAAAAAACCAAACAAACTCACCATAACTCTATCAACTCACTTCTGTTATAATATTACATTCAGAATGAGATCATCTGACCAAATTTTCCCAGACTATAGACCAGAAAAAGACTCCAAATATGCTGCCCAGTCTGTACCAGCTCACTGATTTAAGTAATTACTCTTAGAAGGCCAATTACAGCTGAAATATATTTCTGAATTTATTTTTTTTTTTTGCTGCTGTTGTTCCAGTTTGGGGTTTTGACCCCTCAAATTCAGGTGAAGCTTGAGAACAAGTTCTCAGCTTTTCTGCTCCCCTCGGTTCAGGGATAAACTGAGATATGGACACGTGGAAATAATGTAGTCCAAGTGACTCAGTAAATCTGTTATCAGCCAGATAGAACAACCCAAGGAAGTTACTCATCCATTTCTCCAAGTTTTGGGGAGGGTTTGTTTTTTTTTTTTGGTCTGTTTGTTTTAAAGGGATCGACTCCAAGGTACTTCAACACAACAATATCAACTGATACCAAGTGAGGGTAACCAGCACCTTCCAGAATTCCTTCTGAGAACCATCAGGCAAGTGACACAAAACAACTTGTTTATGGTTGTATTTAAAATTGTTATTTAAAAAAAAAAATAAGTAAATAATTGGACTTGCAACATGCTGTAGGAATTGCCTCATTTAAAACAAAGCCCAGCACAGACTGTCAGTGTTGTACTGAGTACAAGCACAACGAGAACTCACTGTAAGGTTCTGATCTGAGCCATAAGGATGGATACATTTAAAAACCCATAATGATCATTTCTCCAGCGCTGCCCTAGGCGCTGTTGTGGGCTTGCAATCAAAATATTCTGACTGCTAAAAATGAAGCAGACCAGACGGTGGCAAACCCCAGCTCTGCAGCTCTCCCCAAGCCTCTGCTCTCACTTGGCTTGTACAGATCAATGTATCAGTCAACTCTGAATGTTTTCTGAACAAGGGCAACATTTAAGAGGGAGCTTTGAAAATCCTACTGACACAGCTCCACAGCTTCCACTGTTCCCACCTGTTTCTAGACCTGAAACTTGTGCAATGCCCACTCTGCTTCCCAGTGAAAGGAGGGAAAAAAAATAAAGAAAATAAAGAAAAAGAGGCTCTTAATTCTGACTATAAACAGAGATTCCTGCCCAGAGAACGTAAGATGAAGAGCAAGAAAGAACAAGTTCCCCTTCAATGTCACTCTTGGGGACACTCCTCTCAGACACCCCAGGACTCATTTAACTCACAACATCACCCAACACCACGTGCGAGGATTAAAAATAAAGGCAAGGCAAATGTTGTGCAATAAGACCACAGACAAACACTTCCCAAAACATCTATTCCAAAAGTCACCCAAGCCTTGAATGTTTGGTTTTGGTTTTTTTGTTTGTTTCTCCAATCCATCCAGGATGTCAGAGCACAAAAGGCAGGCCTGGAAGCAGTAGAGGGATTCCATGCTGATGGAATTACTCAGTGTCAGAGCAGTCACTTCTCTGAAGAGACATGAAATTAATTATTTTCAGGCACTTGCCATAAAATGAATTTCCTTTCTCAGCTGGCAGGATGAGCTCAGTGGATGCATTCCACACTCTGGAGAGCCAGGAACACACTGCAGCTCTGCTTACTGGCTTGATTAACACCAGTCAAGGTGCTAACACTCAGTTCTCTGGCTCTGAGATTAGCTGAGGGTTTTATTCCACAATCAGACTTGGTTAAGTGATGTCAGAATTACTGAAATTGTGGGTAGGTCTTTTGTTGAACTCTGGGGGGGGGGGGGAAACCCCAACCAACCAACCAAACCAACCTGATAGTCCCTGCAAAGGGAAGTTATCCCAAAATGCAGTTTGACCCGTTCCAGACGAGAGGAACAACAGCAGGATCACAGCTGGGATTTCTCCAGCTAAACCTACAATCAGCAAGTTTTCAAACAGCCAAGAAAAGAAGGACAAAACAAACTTTTCCTGAGCTCTGTGTGCTCCAACAACAAAAAGGCCTCGTGTTCCACATCCACCAGTGCTGGGGAGGTTTTTGGGGTCTGCAAACACATGAAAACACAGCAAACAGATTCCCACCAGGCTGAGCTGGATCTGAGAGACCTGGGAACGTTCATGAGCATCTCCTGGTGAACACAAACCCACTCCACCAGAACTGCACCTTCGTACACACAGCCCAGGGCTCAGGATGGTTTTGGACCTTTCCTCTCCCACATTCCAACAAGGCACTGAGGGGGTCACACTCAGTCAGAACCTCATCTACAACTCGCTGTTAATTCAAGAGACCACCGGGAACATTTTCCACCCTCCTTACTACCTCAGAAAAGCAGGTCAACCTGAAGACAAAGCTGTTTGGTTTTTAATAGACAAAGCACCGATGGCTCATCCTGAAAGGTGTCTTACAATACTTTTCCTTCCAAAAGCAAAGTTGGGAATTCAAAGGCACATATAAACCAACAGCGAACACACAGGTCAAAAATAATCAAGCAACTTTGACTTAGCTCCTTTTACTGAACCTCCCCCGATCCAAGACAAGCTAGAATGAAAATAAAAAGAACTGAACTGGCTGCAACCAAATGAAGAAAAAGCTACTTTTCAGAGCTGGCCAGGCTGAGTAATTAACTGATCACTAAGTGCTAAGCTTTGTCATTTCATTGATCTTCTCAGCCTCAGTCATTTTCTAATAGCTGGAAGAATTAGCAGCTACTTCCACACAGAAAGGGGGTTTAAAACCACACTGACAGCTCACATAAACGGCGTCTCAGAAGAGAAATCATCCATTAAACACCAATACAAACGCACCACACATTTTATTTTAAAATATTCCCCTCCCAGAGCTCAGCACCACACACTACCAAGAGACCTCCTAGAGACCTACATTGAGGGTAAATTGACTGCTTTAAGGGGGTTTCACTCCTCCAGGCCCCCATCTGAGGCTTAAGGACAGTTTAAGACACCTCAGAAGAAGGTAGAGGCAGCCTCATAAACAGGCAATTACAGAATAATCATATGCCCACACAGGGAATTCCTCCCCAGCTGCAAGCAGGCAGTGGTTGGCTCTGCCCCGAAGCATCAAGATTAGTATCTGCACTAAGAACAGCAAATCTACCATGTAACAATTCAAATATTTATTGTTTATGTGCCTACCTCATCCCCACTTCAAACAATGCTTTTCTCAGTGGTATCTCTAGAAATCAAGGTCCACGGCTAATTATGTTCTGCACTGAAAGGAACAATGCACCTTTCACTGGGCACAGACCTTGTTCCACACATAATTCATCAGCAAAATCTGCCCCTACACAACAAACTCCTCCAGGCTGGTATTTGTAAGGTAGAAAATTCCGTAAGTGAAGAAGATAAAAGTCCTGGTTTGGACCCAAAACGTGACAAAAGGTACAGCTTGGCTTCCCAAACAGGGCTGATCAATATTGGCTGGACAAATCCCCCACAGATTGAAAGAACTGTGAAATAAAAGAGCTGGACACACCTTCAAATAGGCACTGATTCCCAGAGAGAAGTTCTTCCTGTACCTCTACTTTGTTCTAGGCCAGCAAAGCATCAAGTAGGAATTGCTGATATGGGACCCTGGGTGACTATTTACACAGGAAAGCACAAATTTCCACACCTAAAAACTTCCAGTTTGATTTCTTAAAGGTGTCTAAATTTCAACTTTGCTTACTAGAAGATGCAAATGTACTTAAAGAAGTATTTTCAGGGGTGCACATTCAGCCAACGAGACAGCAAAGAACTCCTGCTGAAGTCTGACACCTTTAAAAAAAAATGCACATTTCTAAGAAGCTGTTTTGAAGCAGCACGTTATTTACCCAGAGATGCACCTGGATGTCAGGAAAACTTGGTTTTCTACTCTTATTTTCTCCTACATAAACACACACTCCAGCAGAAAGATGGAGCTTCTCCCTTCAATCAGCATCACACTCGATTCTAACCTTTCTCCCCTTGAGGATTTTTCACAGAATCACAGAATTAAGGTTGCAAAAGACCTCAAAGATCATCAAGTCCAAACCTCTGACTGAACCCAGCTCAGGTCAGTGGAAAAGCTGCCTTTAAAAGCCACTTCACTTACCTTGTCTCTGGATTATAGCCCAGGATGTAGAAAAATGAATCCACTCTGGCTTTGAACTCTCTAGCAGCAAAAATGTCAGAGAAATGGGAGATGTTGCACTTCCCTCTGGAAGAAAGAGGGGAGATGGCATTAGAATTCTTAGCTTGAATAACAGCTCTTTTAATTAAGTGCCACTGCAATCTGTGTATGAGCCACAGGCATCCTCCTTCTCATAAATGTCCAAGAACACCATAAATACCAGCCTGTTGTAACAAATAACCATGTGGGTTCTTTCCCACGGTGGGAAGGGCAGGAAATGCAGTTACAGTGTCTCAGATGGTGTTCTCCAAACAATCCTTAATTCTCCTTCAGCCAGCACAGAGTCCAAGGAGCCCGAATTTAATCAGACTAATGAACAATACCTAGAAATACAAGCCCGAAAATAGCTCATTTTCCACGTTTTTACAGTCCTATTAGACTTCAATCTTCCAAAAGTGTGCTGTTCACGTTGTTGAAGTCAGCCTGGGAAGTCAGCTTTGCATTTAGAAAGCTAAATAAAACCAGAGTTTAATAAAAGCTCCAACCAAAAAGCAAAGCTGTGATGTTTTTAGCAAGCCTGCAATCCTACCAGTACAAATTCCAAACAGACAGAAGTTTCTCCCTTCTACTTTCATACCTCAAGAGAGTAAAACACACAAAGAACATATTTAAAAAAAAAAAAATGAGGGGGGGAAAAAAAGAGACCTGAGGATTTATTAGCTTGTTCCACCACAGATTGCTAATAGTTTTTTTAATATAGCTTGCTGATGAAGTCATTATCCTTAAGAAGAGCATTAAGGCTGACTCTAAGAAGTTGTTTCTCATTTCCTAGAGGGTTTGTTGGGCTCTTAATGTTCCACAGCTGCTGGTGCTCTGTCAGCAGCACATCCCAGTTTGCTGCCTCTGAGTAAATCAGATCAGGAGCAGGCAGAGACAAATGGGCCAGAGAGGCAGAGCTGGTGCTTTTTATCTAAACCCGAGTCAGTGCAATAAAGAAAAGCACAAGACTTGGCTCTTTTGCAGACTGATAGCATCTCTTCTGCTCTGTATTTACTGAACAGTATTCACTGTTATAAATAAGCTGCTAAGGGGCTTATTTAACACCGTTCAAGGTTTGCCAGTGGAATGAGAAGTGCTGGTGCCCCCCAGTACGCTGGGATGAATCATTATTTTCGCCTGCAATGATCATTATTTTGCCAGGGCTGCTCAGCAGAGCTGGAAAATTCCTCATCTTTGAGTGAACAACCACACAGGGGGGAAGCAGAAATGCTGAACTCGCTTCCCCTGCCTGCTCTGTCCAGGGTAAAGCACTTCAGAAAGGCTTTTACCATCAACAGCCAGCCCAGAACCTGCCCTGGGAATGAGCTCTGCAACACTCCAACTGCTGCAGGTGAGGGAAACACCCCAGGGGGGATGAAGGATGAATAAACCTGCCCCTGTTTTAAGCCAGAATCGACTCTGGGATCTCCTAATTCCCAATCCACGGCCTGGCTGGCAGAGCACCAGGAGCGCTGGACACTGCCCAGGTCATGGCAATGGAACATCAGCAGGGTGTGTAACAAACACCACCAAACTTGCTCACTGACACCCATTTCCTCCCTGGTGGCTGGTTTGAGTCGTTTACAACGACAGAAAACGGGAAGGGGGATTTGTTTTGATAATTCGCATTAAATTCCCATTTTAAAGGCATTCTGGGGGAAGAGATTCAGTTCCCTTTCAATAATTCAGCTGACAGCTAATAAGCATTTGCCAGATAAGCTGCATTATGTGTATCAGTGGCAGGAGCACATCTTGTGCACAGCATTTCACGCAAGCAGCGCTACCCTCGCCACAAAGATTCACCATACAGGTAAAAAGCACAACATTTTTATTACACACTTCCACAGGGATCTACAGCTACCCTCCAGTTAAATCTTTCCACTTGTTAGAGCGCAGGATTGGTAGTTAGAATCACTGGTTTTATCTCCCAGTTTGCCATCGATTCGCTGTGTGTCCATTTGTTTGCAGAGGGCCGAGCAATAATCTGGTATTATAATAAATTAGAATTTCGTGTTAACCTTTCATGCATCACGACACATTCTGCCTACTCCCTGCAATTATCCTTATGTTCATCCTGTACCCTGGGAGAAGGTTATTTTTTCTAGTTTGTTTGCCATACATGTAAAAATTCCATTTTCATCTTTCCATTTCTATCTTTTCTTTAAAAGGGAAAAAAAAAGAGGATGTAGAATAGAAGGTAAAATACTCCCAGGGAAGATTCCAGACACATAACTGAGTTTTTCTCTGTTTAAGCAGATTTCCAGCTTGCTTCCATCAGGACAGCCAACCTCCTGCTAGCCTGGTCTCTGGGAATGCTCATTTGACACTGCAAGTCGACCTGCTGTAACTCTGCAAAGGCACTGTGGAATTCCACCAGCTTGCAGCACACCACTGGAATGCTCTGAGTTTATAAAAGAAGCCTAACATGTAAATCAAAGCCCTCTCCCCTCCTCAGGACAGGAGCTGGTTTGTCTTGAAGCAAGTGGCTTCAGCAAAGTGACTCCGAGCACAGAAATGTCTCCAGATGGCTCTGGTGAAACACCATCTGAGCGTTATTATCAGGCAGATTATTCAATTTGCATTTTGACAATATCCATGCATGTTTGGCATGCTGAAAATCAGCTGAAAAATAACGCCTGGCTGCTTTGGGCTGAAAACATTTCGAAGCGCCGGGGCATCCCCTGGGCTGGGAAGGCTCAGCCCAACTCTTGGGGAGCAAGAGGAGCAGCCCCCAGGGACGGGCAGGGAGCAGGAACAGCACAGGGGGCCATTCCCTCTGTTGCAGGCAGCTTGGAAAGCAGCTCTTGAGCTGAGCCGTGGCCATGACCAGCCTTTAACACGATTTAATCAGGGCAACACAGCAGCAGTGCTGCAGGAGATGCCTCTGCGAGCAGGGCAATCAACCAGCGAGGAGGGAAGGGCAAGCGCTGCTGCAGGAACCAGCGATGACCTCAGCTGGCAACGATGGGAAACAATATCTTCTGAGCTACACTGATTGAGGGAGATTAAAACTGTACAATTACAGCTCGTTTCTGAAGGAGAGCAGATAACACCAGTTAATTACTGCAGGAGAGGAGGAGAAGGCTGAGCTGTGTGTTAATGACCCCACACAAACCCGGGAAAAGCCCCTCTGGAGTCACTGGGGTTTTTCTCATCCCCCTCAGAGCTGCAGAGTGTCTCACCTGAGGGCAGCAGCGTGGTAAGTGTCCACATAGTCTGAAATGAAGAGCTCTCTGTTCTTGATGACGGGGTCTGTGATAACCAGCTCTCGTCCAGAGTCTGCCAGAAAGCACAAACACAACCCCCCAACCCATTAGCTGGAGCCACCATTGCCAGTTTGCAGGTGTTTCTTACAGGTTCTTGGACAACACACTCAGGTTAATTAAGGTGACAAACACTCTGTTAATGTGGCCTGTAAAGGATGGGATATAAGAATGAATGTATAACAATTATTATATTATTATAATCCATTCTTAGACATCAATTCTCCCCTGCCATACCTAAAAACCTTCTGAAGGGAAAGAGCTTTTAGGGGGGGCACTGGATGACACATTTATCCACTGACCACTGGAAACCGTCACTCGCTCCTAGGGGGAAGGAATTAAGGTGGAAGGACATGAGGAAATTAAGTTGTTACTGACTTTTCCAAGCTGAGGTTTTGGCTGTTTTGCATATTTAATGTCAGATCTTCAACTAAAACTTGACAGCACTAACTGCTCAGTCCTCTGGCTTTTGAGGTAAATATTGATGTTCGCATTCAAACACCAAAAATCTTCAGTGTTAACAAAAAACAAGTTTTTTCCGCGACTTCTTCATAACCCCTTTGAGGAACATGAAAATCCTCACGCGGGAGAGCACAAAAAAAGCAGCCATGCTATCAAAAAACGCTCCCTTTCTGACACTCTGCCTGTAATCTCACCGTCAGAAGCTCCAAATAAATTAGTAAGAGAAACGTTCGGTTTGTGGAGCTTTTTTGCTAAAAGCACACACAGAGAATGTCCTTTAAGAGGAGAACTCCTGCTCAACTTTGTACTTTGTCAGGCACCAGAAAAGTTGCTGTGTTCCCTATTTCAATCATCAACTTTTATCATCACGATTCACCTTGGAGTATCTTCAGAATTTTGAACAGTTGCCTCAAGGAACTTTCCTGGTAAGAACAGAAGCAAATGTTATGTCTTCCCTGGAGGCAGGAGATAAAGGACACGGGGATATGGACACTAAAGTTTCTTCTGCTTCTGTTAAACCCAAGATCACACTTGTTTTTGCAAAGAGAGGGGGGGAAACGCAGCCAGGGGTGTTTCAGTTCCATCCCTTCCTGCAATGTTAATCCCAGTGAATATTCAGGTGGGCAAGGGGCAGGAACGTAAAACACTGTGGCAGAATCAGAGAAAAACACAAGATTCAGAATTCCTTCAGATAATTTGGTCTTCACTTAGTAACTAGCACAGAAGGCCTACAAAGGATTCGGTGTTGGGTTTGTTTTGTGTTGTCTCTTAAGGCTTTGTTTAATACATCACAGTATTTAAGGCACGTCTGAAACGCATCTGTGGGCACAGGACACGCACCAGTTCAACACCATCCCCTGATATATTGTTTTCACCCTGTCCCTGCTTCACACCCCCGTGCAAAAAGCGCTCTTGCTTTGTTAAAACTTGAACCTGAGAGCAAAGCAAAGCAGGCCTGGCTCTGGGGAACCTGACTTACCGTTCTCGTTGTGTCTGTCCTGGACCAAGTGCTGATAGACGGAGTCCGGGACCTCTGACTGGCGATAGTACCACTTGACGTTCATGAGGAGATGGTCCCGTTTGCTCTGAAAAACAAGGCCTAAAGGCATTACTAAAAAGGAAACCCAGGCCACACCTGACACAACCTTCTACATGTTCACCCTGAGACAAAACCCAAAAAGGAGGGAAACATTTCCACCACACTGAACCGGGGCAACGTGCTGATGGCAGATTGATTTTCGAAGGCAACTTGAGAACCTGCTACAGTTGGATCTCTCTGTGCATCTGACCAGCAAACACTAATCTATTCACTCACATTAATTAACTCTAGAAAAGAAGAGGCAGGGATTAGAAAAGGGTTGGGATTTTTGGCCTCGTGCAGCAGGGTCTTAGTCTGCTGTTTCTACAATCATGAAGTATTTATGGCCAAACATGCAAAAAGAATGGCAACAGTGTCATAATTCAGTGCAACCCTTTTTAATAGTTGAAACCAAGTGATAATAGATTTTTTTTTTCCCCCCCAGGGACAGATGGATTCAGACATAATCATAGATGTTCTTTATTACACAAAAGAATAGGATGCTGCACTTCAATCACAATAATTACAGGCTCTGATTGCTCATGAACCTCACAGCAAAATTTACACAAAACTATCTCCCTCAAATGCTCCTTTTTCATTGAGACTCTCCAGCCACCAATTTGTTCCTTCTTAGAAGGAAACTGAAGCATAAACACCACTTAAAAAGAGAATTTTTAGATCAAGTCATTACAGACTCTGCTTCAGTTTATCTCTGAACCCCCTCGGTCAGCAGTTCCTCCTGCTGTTCCAAAACACTTGAAGAAACAAAGGTCCGAAGGGAAAGTAACTTTCCTCTGGCATGAGGCAACTGCAAGTTTGTGTTTTTCTGGACTACAGCTCTCCAGAGCCTTCTAGGATTGCTCCTAAAACATTCACATTTCCACATTAAATCCCAGGTTCCCGGCCCAGAAGGTTCCTGTTGTCTCTCCTGTTCACATCAGCCCAACAGTTACAGCATTTCTGCCTAACAATCAACATCAAACCCTTCCCTTTAAAAGCACTTTGATGAAAACCACGTGTAATACCAGGAAACCACTGCCAGTGGCAGCATTGTGCCAGAAAAAGTTTGCGACTGATCCACCACTTGCACGTGGGATGCACTTGAATCCTCAACCCCCCATTCAAGAACAACACTCGGGCTTGTGCAGGAGAAACCTGATCCTGCTGCGCTGGGGGTTTTTTTATTTTTGAAATAACACATCGGCAATCAAAGCCAACAAGCTTGCCTAATGCCTGAAAACATCAAAAGGACGAGGAGTGAGAGGCAGCTCTTGATTTCTGGCGCCTGCTGTTCAAAAATTGGGGTTGCAGACTCGTCTGTTCTCCCGCAGCAGCGCTCAGTGCAAGCCCAGCTTTTGTGAGCAGCCTCTCTGAATTCTGGAGACAAAATAAGTACAAGGAAATAATCTGTTACCCTCTCACTGAGAGTTCATCAATTCTATTAAGTGCTGACAGGCACTGCTTGCAGTGATAGGAGACATCCTAACAACTCAGCATTCCTCTGTGAATTCTCTTCATTTCTCAGCTGAGAGGAGAAGGCCCCCACTCTTGTGCTGAACACACAAACCCTGGCTCTGTGACAGCACAAAACCCACTCCCTTTTCCGTGAGGACAGTTTACAACAAGCAATAACAGCTAAAGCTTTGATTTCCCGGGTTTGTGCCACTGAAGGCAGGTGTCTCTCAAATAATACAGCCCTCCAAGGAGCACTGCAAAGGAGGCACAAGTGCATCTGTACGTGGAACCAGGAAGGAGGACCAAAAAACACAGTCTGGGATTCGGTGGTGGAGGTGGTTTTGATGAGCAGATGACATCAGGGAGAGGAGAAGGACTAGAAATCAGGAATGGAAGGTGCTTATGGAGAATCATCTACAAACCAAACCATCACAAGTCCGAACAACAACCAGCAGCCAATGGAGAGATCCAAGAAAAGAGAGTAAATTACTGTGTTTTGGAAAAAAAGAAGAAAATAAAAGGCAGCAAATGAGGAATAAAAGGCTGCAGCTCTGCTAAGAGGGGACAGTTTTGCAGAAGGAATTCTGAAGGTGTACAAATTCTGTGTGAAGGCACATCCTTTACATCTGCATACACTGGGATGATATTCAAACAAAAACAGGATAGATCAACGCTTGAAATGTTTTGGCTGTTTCCTTGGCATCACACGGAGCTGGGAGGTCACAGCTTTTCTGTGAATTAGGCCAAGGCTCTAAAGGAGATGGTGATGCCATCACCCCACTCTCCTCTCTCTGTTTCTAATTCTATCCCAGGAACAGGACAGGGCTTTTAGCAGGGCAGGGAGGAGGCCAAGGTCAGCGCTTCCAAAGCATTCACATACTCTGGGGAGATGAAATCAGCGGCTGCAAGTGAGGTTTTCCCACTTGCTGCCATAAGGGACCACCTCACTCTCTGCCCTCCTCCCCAAAGAGCCTTTTTTGCCATTCAGTCAAAGCAAAGAGAAGTTTTAGCTGATTGCCACATCCCCTGGAAGCTTCACTGCCAGTGCTCCCCCAACATGCACTAAAAAAATGGGAGAGGAGGGGATTTCACAGGAGCCCATCAGGAATATTCACACATGAACACACAGAGGAGGCAGGCAAAGTATTTACTGGGTTTTGCAGTATTTTATCACATCACTCAAAAATCCCACAGCTGAAAAAAAAAACAAAAACAAAACTAAAAAATAGGATAACATCTACACACAGGCTGGAGCTTCCTGCCAGTTGAAGCATTTGCATTTGATGGGAAGATATTTCATTTTCCATTTTGAGTGGGAATCCCTCCCACCATCACAGGGCAAGAATGCAAAGCAAAGGGGAACTACAGGGGGGGTTCATAACCCTCTTCTTTCAGTACATTTCAATAATGTATCTTTTAAAGCCACGGAGAAAAATACGAGGGCAGAATTAGAATCAGAACAGGCGATAAAAACCAAAACACAATCAGCGCAAACGGCGTGGGATAAACACAGGGTTGAAGCCACGGCCTACACCCACTTCAACTCTGAACTTCTGAACACTGAATTCTATTCAACAGTCATTTAAAGTGCATTGGGAAAGGAGAAGATGGATGAAGATGGCCGGTGTACACATCTTTAAAAGTTATCCGACTCGTGGCTCCACGATGCCGATGGGCTCCTGCTCGTGGAACAATCGTGGAATGCTGCCTGTGGAATAACTCGGTGCCTCCACACAGAGAGAAAGCAGCAGCAAAAATATCATTTACAATGGGATGTGTAACTTTTTACAGAAAGGTCTCTGGACAAAGATGCAACAAAAAATGCGCCCATAAACTAATAAACTGTTGCTTGTGCTCTGCTGGGAGGGGTCGGGTTTGGTTCGTGGGTTGGTTGGGTTGTGGAGTTTGGGGGTTTTTTTGGTTTGTTTTTCTGTTTGTTTGTTTTAAGGGGAAGACGTGATCTCCTTCCTAAATATCTCTTTTTACCAAGTCTGGTCAGTTTTGTCCAAATCATTTAAAACCTGCACCTTGAGAAGCATCTTCTGTGCTTCCTCCCCAACACGGATGATTTAGTGGGGTTTAACCTGCAGCTTCCATCTCCCTAAAAATATAAAACGTCTGTCAGAGTCTTCCTTTTCCCATTTACATCCTTCAGTGCACAGAAATTCCTAGACATGCTATTTTGTCAGCCAACTTCCTAAATACGTATGTCATTTCTAAGGCAGACAATCCTCAGAGGTGTCAAGGCGCCAACTTCGGTGGCAGACTATTTATTTTACAGCCATGTGCACACAAAAGAAGTGGCCTCCAGTTCTTAAAGTGTGACTTTTATAAAATATATTTTTTTTTATTTTTTTTTTTTACACCTTTACATCTGAAAAGCTGCAGACAGTCACATGCCAAGTTCAGACTTGCAGAAAGTGCAGCCCTGGCAAGCGCTTTTAAATTTCAAGTGTCTTTCTGTCAGCTCCAAACGATTCCCTGAGCTACAGAAATGCCTTCTCCCCTTAAATGAAAATATTGTCTTCTGCTGCAGCGCTCACAAAGTGCTCATTTTGGGGTTTTGTTCCTTTGAAACAACATGAATCAGGTTGGGGCACTGAACAAGAATGAGCAGGAATCTGTAAATGGATTAAAGCCTCCCCAGTTCACAAGCATCTGGTCAAACTCTATTCAAAATGAGCCTCTGCCTTAGAGGGAAGGGGGGGGGAAATAAAATCTTGCAGGTTCTGTCTAAAAGTAGGGAACGTGCCGATTTCCACAGCCCTGGTGACAATTCCAAGGTGCCTGTTTTCTTTGGAACAGGCTCCAACCAGAGTTACTGCTCATCCCAGCTCGGAGCTTCAGAGGTTCCACACTCCCCTTCCAGGGTTATGAGTAACCACACTGTGCAAACGATCGCAGATGCCCTGCAGATTCTCTCAGAGGGATTTTAATCAGTATACTTCACTACTTGCCCTATTTAGGTCCATGTTAAATCACAACTAGCTTTGGAAATAATATCCCAAATGCTGGGGGATGACAGATGGGCAAGCGGGAGTGGGGGAATAGCAGCTCTTTCAGAGGCACAAACAGCAAAACAGGAACAAGGAAAAGAACATCTTCCCCTTTCCAACACGTTTTCCACTCTGAAATTTTTCTATCAGGAAAAAAAATAATAATAATAATGGGATTCATTCTAAGCTACCAAATTCTCTGGAGGATTTTAATAACGTGTTAAATATTTTAACAGCGTCAAAATCAACATCTTGTGCACAGCAGCAAAGCAGCTCTGGCCCCACAAAGCCAAGGGTTGGGGGTTTTTTTAACAATACAAATTAACCTCCTCCTTTGGGGCATTGTTTGCCCCCCCCAAAATAAAGATTTCATTTCACACAAACAGTTCCAGTGATGCTCCGTGACGTGCCTGATTCCAGTGGTACATTTGACTCGCTCCATCCCTTCCTGGCCCTTCCCTGCCACGAGGAATCGCTTCCAATAGTTCTTCTCCAACTGCAGAGCTATTTTTTACACTTAGAATTTTGACATTTGCTAATATTCAAAGGAGAGAAA